TGGTGCTGGTGCCAAATCCACAGATGAAATTGTTTTTGAGGTCGCAGGAGACATTCTGAGCAAGCTTCCTTCCAACTTCGACACGGAAGCAGCCATGAGAAGATACCCAACCACTTACACGCAGAGCATGAACACGGTGCTTGTGCAGGAGATGGGCCGCTTCAACAGGTTACTGGAGACAATACGCGACTCCTGCGTGAACATCCAGAAAGCCATAAAAGTGAGTCAAAAAATAACTGGGAACTGAGGGAATTGGTGGGGGTTGTTACTCTCCGTTAGTTTCGAGAGGTCATGGAGAGCAGGGGAGGTGCCGGAGAATCATCAAGGACATTTTTCCCTCACTGCAGCAAACTGTTTATTACTGTGTAAAGCACAGGGTGCTTTGGTTGCTCCTTTTGTCTCTAATTAGTCATTACCAGTGGCTTTACACATCCTAAATGTGTAAATTTTCCTTCAAATAATATAGAATTAGTGTCTATGCGGCAGTACAAATAAGCAAGAGACAAAAGATGCAACAGGCTGGAATCATAGCAAGTTTGTGTCTGTAGGTCCATGTAGAAAAGAACTTTAATTGACAACTAGTTGTAAATTTTTCTCTATAGTTTTCTCTAACTGTATAGTTTTCTCTAAGTGTAGCTGTAGACTACTGGGTACCGATTCTCACTGTGCTAACAAAAATTGTTAGCACTATATATATAGATAGATATAGATATTTTTTCAGTATTCATTTCTAAAAGGGTCTATGGATCTTATTGACCCATAGGATAACTGACTGCTGTGGTTGACTTTTTCCTCTTGTCATTCTTGTTGTCAGGGTGGCTCCAGTACAATTTAGCTAAAAGCTGGTTAAATCTATTGGAAAAAGAATTATCTTTAATTCTTAAAGTGAGGCTATAACAATTCACTGTTATAAGCAAAACGAAGTGTTTAGACATCTTCTTTTCTATATTTCTTTTAGGGTCTAGTAGTGATGTCTGCTGAGCTGGAGGAAGTGGTAAACAGCATTTTGAAAGGCAAAATCCCAGGGCTGTGGATGAGTAAGTCTTATCCGAGCCTCAAGCCCCTGGGCAGCTACGTGAACGACTTCCTCAGTCGCCTGAAGTTCCTGCAGGTGCGAGCATGGCCGGTGGCTGGAGCTCTTTGTTGCTGGTTACTAAGCTCCAAGTTTGGTGACAGTTGCCCAAGTGAGCACACGGACCCGCACTCGCACACGTGCATGAGCACAGGTGTGCACACACAAGCACACACACTCCCACATGTGAACACCCGCAGTTGCATGGTCACTTGCACACGTGTGCACATTCCCATGCACACAGGCGCACACACATGCACAAGGCCACGTATGCAGGTGTGTGCGCACACACATGCACAGGCATACAGGGGCGTGTACACACACACGCATGCAGGCACATACACACATACATACAGTCACATGCTCATGCATCCAGATGCGCGCACACATATGCATATGTGCATGCAGGTATACACACACACATGCATGCATGTATACACATATCTATGCATACGCAATTGCATGTACATGTATGCAGGTGCACACACACATGCAGGTGCACACACATGCCCATGCACGCATATGTAGATGTACATGCATGCAGGTACACATACACATGTGCACAGACATGCATGTACGTGCGCGCGCGCACACACATGCAGTCATGTGCACACTCAGGAACACATTCTCATACACACAGAAATGCACACACATGGTCACACTCATGCACAGTCACAGGCACACACTTTCACAGTGAAAGTGCTCCTCTTCCTCCTCCACTTTCACAGTGAAAGAGCTCTTCCTCTTCCTCCTCCTTCCCCTTCCCCGTCCTCCTTCCTTCTCCACTGTCAGTGAAAGAGCTCCTCCTCGTCCTCCTTCTTCCTCGCCCTCTTTCGTCCTCCTTCCTCCTCCGCTTTCACAGTGAAAAAGCTCCTTCCCTCTCCTCCCTCCTCCTCCTCCTCCTCTTTCTCCTTCCTCCTCCTCCACCTTCTTCCTCCACTTTCACAGTGAAAGAGCTCCTTCTTCCTCCATCCTCCTCCTCCCTCTTCCTCCTCCTCCCTCCTCCACTTTCAGTGAAAGAGCTCCTCCCTCCTCCTCCTCCTCCTCCACTTTCAAAGTGAAAGAGCTCCTCCTCCGTCTTCCTCCTCCATCGTCTTCCTCCCTCCTCCGTTTTCCTCCTCCCTCCTCCTCCTTCTCTTCCTCCTCCTTCCTCCTTCTCCTCCGCTTTCAGTGAAAGACCTCCTCTTCCCTCCTTCCTCCTCTCCTCTTCCCTCCTTCCTCCTCCTCATCATCATGCAAACCCTACATTTCTTTCCTGCTCCTCTTCCTCTCCCTGCTGCAGGAGTGGTACGAACACGGCACCCCACCAGTCTTCTGGATTTCAGGGTTCTTCTTCACTCAGGCCTTCTTAACTGGTGCCCAGCAGAACTATGCCAGAAAATACACTATTCCCATCGACCTGCTGGACTTTGACTATGAAGTGCTGGGAGATGAGGAATACAGCAGTGCTCCTGAAGATGGCAAGTACAGCGTGTGCCGTAGCACTTAGAGCTTAATGCAAATACTTCTGCACGCAAAAGGCTGTAATTAATTTCATGAATTTCGTTTTACATACAGTACATACTGTATTGGTACCTTCCCCAAGAGATCCACAAAGAGTGCTGCAACAAAATACTATTTAAGACAGAAATTACTAACATTAATGAATTTCCTAGATTCGCCTAAAGGCATAAAAAATAACACCTCCAAAAAAAAAAAAAATTATTGTCCCAAAGTTTTCCAAAATGGGGTAAATTTCTAAATGATATTCAACCTGCAACTTCTAAATATTATTTCACCTGCTTTTTTCCTCCATTATTTCAAGCCACAATGTATGCACCTGAGGTAGAGAGTATTTGCCTAGGCCAAGGAAACCAAGACACTGAGCAGAAGATGTGGGTATCTTAGTTCAGTTATCGGAACACAGTTCTGCTAATACAATAATTCAGAAGGTACAGTACGGGACTTCCTCTATGGGGGAAGAGGTATTTTTCAAACCAGTCTTACCTGTTGCTTTCCTTAGGTTGCAGATACTGTCCTGAGCCTGCGTGTCCTCAGAACAAGGAGGGATTTAACTAAACGGCTCTTCCTGGTCTTTTCAGTGCTTTTCTGAGGACCAGTGTGGCTGGAAGTTGTAGAAGGAAGGGCTTGGCAGGGTGTCTGGAAAAATCCTTGTATTTCAACTGCATATTGTACAGAGGGCTCTATAAACAACAACAACTGGAAGTCTGTAAAATAATGACAGGTTTTTTTGTACTTTGGAATAGCTTTTAGTTGAGGAGATATGGCTGTGCTGGACACTGTAGCTTTATATAATGCTATATATGTATCTATAATTACATATATATGATAATTATATATTTATTACACATAATAATTATATGATGATAATATATATAACATAGTAAATATATTGAATATATTATAAACATAATTATATATAAATATATTATAGGTATAATATATATTATATATGTAAAATAATATGTATAATATATAATGTATAATATATAATATGCGCTCTCTCTCTTTCTCTCTATATATAAAAAAAATAGACAATAAGATTGTTATATCCTCCACGTCATTTCATCACGGTTTGAACACAAAGACCTGGGAAAGGCCCATATAATGCACCGACTCTTGGCCGAGTGAGCCTCGCCTTGCACATTTTCAGTGCCTGCCTAATACTGTGTCTTTTCCACCCGATTCAGGGGTTTACATTCGGGGATTGTTCTTGGATGGAGCACGCTGGAACAGGCAAACTAAGAAGCTAGGAGAATCTCACCCCAAAATCCTCTACGATACAGTACCTGTGGTCAGTAGCTTTCCTTTGATGTCATCTTCTTGTAGCAACTAACACTAAAACACAGTGTGAGCCATGCCCTAAGCTCTAGTCCTAAAGAAAGTAATAATGATAAATCCTAAAACTCCTTAAATGGAGTTGAGAGTGTTCAGTGTCACATTAGAAGTCACATTCCTGAGGAGATTGGAGAACTCTGCTGCTGCCATGGGAGGGTTGTGGTGGCTTCTGTTGGGAGAGGATCAAATCTGCCAAGGAAGAGAAAATGGCAACCACTGCCAAACACCTTCAACATGCTAGGAGAGTTTCCCAGTATTTTTTATTTTGATCTGAAAAAGGTTGTTCTCTCATGCAGATATGGCTGAAGCCCTGCAAGAAAACGGAGATTCCCCAGCGCCCAAGTTACCTGGCCCCTCTGTACAAGACCAGCGAGAGAAGAGGGGTCCTGTCAACCACTGGCCACTCCACCAACTTCGTCATCGCGATGATCCTGCCTTCGGACAAGCCGGAGGAGCACTGGATTGGCCGGGGGGTGGCTCTCCTGTGCCAGCTTAACTCTTGACTCTACCACAACTGAACTGAGGCCCGTTCCCTACATCACTGACACAGGATGCGTGTCAAGCCTTACACGTCTCGAAAAAAAGGGAAATCTACATATAAAAACAATTTGTTCACAGTTTTGCATTTGTGCCTTTCGTAAGCATTGAAACATGAAGATGAACACTACACTACAAAGGTGCAGAAGAAAATCTTACAAAAGCCAACACGAATATTTGCTCCTTGAATAATTTTATTTTCTGAAGGCTCCTTATAAATAAGGAACATACATAAAATGAACACAACACTGTTGACAGTGAACAAAACAGCATTTGATCATTTCCAGCTTTATAAAATTAAAAAAAAAAAAAGATTTAGTTATAACAAAAAGACTCATAGCTCGGTAAGTATCTTATAGGACCATAATCACATTTTGAAACCGTAGACTCAACTGCTAAGGGGGCTGGGCGGAGGGGAGGGAGGGAAAGTCACACTGCATCTAGCTACTACAATAGTTCCTAAGCATAATCACAGCCGATTGAATGCAATGTGATCGACATCAAAATTCATATGGGATGTCACACAGTGACAGCATTGTAATATACAAGTAACATTTACGCCCTCCAACAAATACAAGTTAAATGAGACTCTGGATTCAAGCGGAATGGAATGTTGAAGCCAAGTAGAAATGTAGTGGAATTCAGATTGTCTGTAACATGACCTAAAATTGTATATTAAAAGGACTTGGAATCAATACTGGTGGAAACTTCTAGAAGCCACAGCTGTTACACTGCTCTTCATAGCCTGTAATAAATATTAGAAAATAAATGGGAAAACCCCATATTTAATATGAAAAATGCAGTACCTACCTGACCATGTTTTTCCCTTGCCTGAGGATGGTCTTGGAAGGAAGTTGGCTATTTTCTACAGAGGCAGCGTATTGAGCTATAACTACATCTGAACTAACACCAAAGGAAACCTACTACCTGAAACAGTGAAATCTTCATGGGAAGAGAATTAAAAAACAAGTCTTTTTAAAAAAATGATTTGACAAAAACTCAATTCAACCCATGACAGAATTAATGACATTAAAATGAAAGGTCGCACTAACACATAAGCAACATAGGCTGTTTCAGCTCAGAAGGTGTCCCGTTAAGTCTCTGAAAGTGGTTACTCAGGGACCTAACCTGGGCTCTAGGAACAAATGCCACCCAGGATGTTCACACTGGAGGAATTCCTCTGAAACAGCAACAGTGGATTTGCTACTCATAACCCAATAGCCAACCTGCTTTAAAAAACAAACCACAACAAAAAAACAGCCCCCTCCACACACACACACTAAGTTCAGAGCATCAGACAACTGCGTAACTGGACCCTGGGCTTGTGGCCTCTTCACTGAAGAAGCCGCCGCCGCCTTTGAAATGGACCCTTAATACTGTTCCGTGCTACTGCGGTCGGAAGAAATACTGGCAAGAACCACCCGATACCTTTAAAATACACGAGCTGCTCTTAATAAAAACTGACTCATCGAGGGAGGCTTCCAAAAGCAAACGGCCACAGGAAACGCGCATGAACTTGAAATGGAATGAAGCGACCAGGCGGCTCCCGGGGAAGGCGTCAGCATCGACGTGTCGTTAGCGGCTTTGCTGGCGCCAAGCGGACTCAAACTAAATGGCACGGAGTCAAATACAGCTTACCTGGCACACACATAAAAGAAGACAAACCGTTTTTGTTTTAAAAAAAGGCTGCTACCATGTTTGGGACTGGTACTACAGCATCACCGTGTGCTCCTTGCAAACTCGCGATCTCTACGGGAGATGGGTGCAAGAAAAACTAACTCTTGTCTGGCAGCGTGAGCATCTCAGCATGTTCCAGTCCAGCAAGTTAAGGCCAAAATTTCCCATCTGCCCTTCTGAATTACACACAGCATAGATCTATTAGATCTGCTTTTTAATAATCTAATTTAAATACCAAAAATTGTGTTAAAAAAACAAAAGGAGAAACGAACTGCTGAACTGCTTCACGCTGGGAGTAGAAATCTTCCTACATACTGTCTATTGCCAGAAATGGCCAGTGCTGCAATGTCTGATACCAAGGCATTGCAGGAACAGATGTCATCTGATATTACAGTATCGCAAATAACCCACCAGAGCGACACACACAAGAGCATAATTTAACCTCTGTGCCCAGGTTCAGTAACGAGCAACTTGCACTTCGGACTGCGTTAACATAAAAGAAGAAAACATCTCAAAGTAACTGTTAACAAAGTGAGAAATTCCCATACGGATTCTCTGTTAAAAGAGAGTTTGCATAAAGTCACAGACAATTCTTCAGTAGTTTAGGCTGCAAGTGGCACACTGCATGTTTAGCATCTGTAAAAAAGAACCTGAAATACCTCAATAACTCTAACATCAGGGATTTCCCCAGGCTAACACTAAATCTACTGCATTTTGCATGTTCCGACTAGTATCAAGGAATGGAGGTTAAATAAATCTGAGCCAGGAAAACACTGTCAAACTGATCCTCAGCAGAGCACAGCTCTCTGCAGCGCGTATCGCGACAGGCTGCCTCCTTACACATGCAGCTTGTCATGACAGAGTGCAGCTTACTGCGGAGTTACAAACTTGAACAGCTTTTGGGATTTTATTTTTAATTTAAACCATCACAGTGGTTCCCAGTCACATGTTGTTGTAGGATTCAATACTTGTTGCTACTATGCAGAGGAATCAGCGCAGAATATATATTTATCTATAAAAATATTCAAGTGTGCTACTCAAGCCTTATATGGCACTAGAAGCTTACTCTGGTTCTGAGGTATGAACTTCAGCTTTGAGATTTTTGGGGTTCTGCTCAAATGTAGTATGAAAAGTTGTTTTCCCAAAGAGTAGATGCTTCACTGCAATTTTTATTTTCTTACGCAAGCAGAAAGTGCTTCCTGTACAGCACACTGCACCAGTTTTCTCCTTTTCAGTATTCCTAATCGTCTGTCCCTTGAGTTTAGAGGATGCACTGGGTGGTCATATCCAATTTTAACTGGTTAAAAAGCGGAAGTTAATCTACACCCAAATGAAGACACTGTAGCAGTGTGAGTAGTGCAAGCCACTGCTTTTCCTGGGAGCAATGTGCATACAGTAAAACAGTGCAGACTCGAAGCCACACAGCGACATGAGTGTAACCACAGAGATTACCAGAGACGGTCAAAACTGGATGTCAAGCACAATTTTATCTTCGTAGAGGGCAATCACCAGCATGATGGCGAATCCAAGCAGCAGACCGAGGTTCTGCAGGATGAACTGCCCCACGGGGCAGTACCCGTGCTCTTCATCATCTCCGTCGCCATGAAGCATTTCTGGCAGCTACAAAGGAAAAGGTGTGGGAATCATTCCACTTCTATTTCATGTATATACAGACAAGTTCATAAGGTAAAGCTGATCCAGAAAAACACTGCAACCTTGCAGGATTCCGTTAAAAAAAAAAAATCCATTAAGAAACAGTTAAAACTCCACCGTGTCACTGCATGTTATTAAAACATGCTCTCAAACAAATCACATATTTACAAAACGAAGTGAACTCTGGCACAGCCTTTCCTTGGGGCGTTTTTTTTTTTTTAGCTTGTATTTGAACTTCACATTCCTCAGGATAAGGACCGGCCCAGCTTTCTTTGAGCGCTGCTCTTTCATGTTCTTTCCCTCCATTGAAACCAAGTCATGCTCAAATAAACATAAGTAGAAGCTTTAATTATTGATGCACTGTTATAAATACATTCTTACATCAGAATGTTTATGAAGATCAAACTCAGCCATTCATTTCCTGTTATACACTAACACACATACATATATATTTCCTTTAAAAGTACGGAAATAATAGGGAACAACCTGTATTTGAGGAACAACTAAAGAAAAATTCTATGTAAATCCAATAGAAATTCGGATAGTTCTGGGTATTTGTAAGACTTCTTCACGTGTGAGGAAAAGCCCAATAGCACCGTTGACAGCAGACAAAGAAGAGCAGACTTGGAAGATATAAAAGTGTGACAGGATCATGTGACAAATTACCACATCAGCACATCAAATCTGCCCAAAGGACAAACGTAAGGACCCACGCGCTCTTACATTACTGTATTTCAGAAACAAAAAGCTGCCAATTGGACTTGTTGAGAGTTTACATCTCTATTAAAAATATACCTGAAAAATGGTACCACTTGTAGAATAGACAAGACAGCCTCAGGTCAACCACTACAGCAAAGTACCACGTGCCGTAAGTCAGCAGGGCTGAACAAAGTCATCACAGACCTTGCCCTGCTGGAGACTGCCACAGAGCTCCTCACGCTGCCAGGCTGGGGCAGCCCGTGCTGAAGAGGCTCATTTGTGGATGTGCAAATACCTCCAAAAGGGCCGCAGGAACTTAAGGAAAAAATTCCTAACAGTGAGGGTGCCAGAGGGAGGCTTGTGGAGGCTCCTTCTCTGGAGATCTTCCCAACCCGCCTGGAAGCAGCCTGTGCCCGGTGCTCTGGGTGTCCCTGCATGTGCAGGGGGTTGGACTAGAAGATCTCTAAAGGTCCCTTCCAATCTTTAGGATTCTGTGATTCTATGAAATAATTAATTTCACCCACAGCTGAGAGCTGCAACAGCCTGCTCCTCACACATCCAGTATGTTAAGATCTCCCCATCTGCTATGAAATTAAAAATAACTCTTTAGGGGATCACCAAGCAGAGCCCCGACACCGGTTAGGTGCCAAGTGCTTTTGTATAAAACGTACGCAGCCGTACCTGCTGATCCAAATAACACTCTAATGATCATACTTGATCTATCCAAGTAGAGAAATACCAGCTGTCAAAGCTTGCCTTTGCTTCCGATGAGCAATTTGTAAATGAAGAGATGAAAATCCAGGCACTGCAGTAACTGCAGAAATGTTCTCATTTCTGAGAGAAGCACCAAGAGCTGCCTGAACACCTAAGAACTGAAATTTCTGATATAGCTAATAGGAGATCTCTCTTTACAATCCAGGGAAATTACTTGAGCTATCTTTTTTTTTTTTATATATATATATTTAAGCTGGAACAGTATTACGGAATATCCAAAAAGTGAAAACTGAGTGAAAGTGAAATCTCATCATCATTATTTGTGGCCTAGGAAAGAAAAAAAGAAAAAAAAAAGGAAACCAAAATAAGCCAATTGTCTTATTTAAGTGCAACTCTGAAGCTCTTCAGAAGATTCATGTGGATTAAGTACAGTCTGATAACATGTGCAGAAGTACGTTGCTGTCCAAAGAATGTGGACGTATGGTGTATGCTCACTGAATGTAACGTACAGATCAGTTAAATCCTTGAATCAACAACATGTACTCCAGCAAGTAAGTTTTTAAAATCAATGCAAAAGCCAAGTTTTACCATCTGCTCTTCTTAAAGGGTAAAACTCATCTTTCTAGGACTGAATGCATCAACATTACATTTTACTGAGGAACAAGTCTAGGGGAGGGGATTGAACTCAAGTGTCTATCTGTTTTGTGTTCCAACCATAAAACAGATGATCATCTATTAGCGATGATCATGAAGTTTATTAGTGGGAAACAGTGATCTTCTTTCCCAGCCCCATTATAGTTTTGTATTTTAATATAAATTATAGGCAGAGCTCCATAGCAGAAACCCAGGCAGGCAAGCGACTACAGGACTTTGCTACGTTTCTCACAGTATTCTCACAGAAACAGCTATGTCCTGTCTATACATACTTCATTTTGTGTCATAACAGCTAAAAATCCAGAGCAGGTGCTATTCCAGTCCTAGGCTTTCTGCATGCAATGCAGGAACGACACAAAATCCTCATGTTCTTACCATATCCACCAATGCCACGTAGAGGAACATGCCTGCAGTGATTGCAAAGATCCAGAGGGTGATGTTGTTGGCATACTGCCCCACGGCGGTGCCTATGAGCATGCCGATGTAGGCCATCATGGCAGACAGGACGTTGTACACAATGGCCTGCTTGACCGTCATTCCTGCTTTGAGCAGCACCGCAAAGTCCCCTGCACCGGCAGAAAGCAACAGGGAGTGAGAATCAGCCCTCCTTTAGAGAGCAAGCAGACACGTTAAAATAGACACATTTACTCTAGGTGACCCTGCGTGTACAAGGGGGTTGGACTAGATGACCTCTGGGGGTCCCTTCCAACCTTAAGCATTCTGTGATTCTGGAAGGGCTACAAGGAATCACAGCTCTTAAGTCTTCTAGCTACCTGCGCCTGCAGCATGACCTTGGTTAGGATATGACTTGAGGGGGCTCGTTACGATGCTCACTATGGAAAGGTAACTTTGGTTGGTAAAGACAGAGAGGTCCTGAGAGGACGCCCATGCTCATGGACTTCAGAGTTCATCAATATCTGCCATGATTCCTCTTGTCCAAATGCACCTCATTATACTAATTGCAGAGGAGTATCATGGAGGCATCAGTGCCAGGAGAAAGTGCAATTCATCTGAGAAATATGGACCTCGGAAAAGCAATAGTTACATCCAGAAGGAGGGTTTTACACTTCTGCTGAACCACAGCTGCTTGGAGATGTGCCAAGTTAACCCATATTGCCATCTCTAGTGCAACTGCTGATTGAGGCACACGCTCATAAAGATCTAGACCTTCATTCCAGCAAGTTTGCTTATCTTTAACTGCTACGCAGTGCCGTTGTCCAACCATGACCATTTTCTCTATCATGACCCATTTTACTCATTATCTTTAAGGGCTACAGGGGGACAAATTGACGGTGCCAGCAAGAATGTCTGCAGACTTTATCTAGATAATCATCAATTTCTCCTGGTTTCAGTGACTGTGGGGCACTAAGTATATTCTGAAGAGTCCAGAAGAATCTGCTAATTTAATTTTTGGCAGTGCAGCACACCCTAGTCTGAAACTCTGTATATAAAAGGCAGAGGCATAAGGCTAAAATGTAACTGCATGTTCCTAAGAGCCCTTGGAAGACAAATCCCTGACATCTTCGCAAACAGATACAGCTACATTCTTGCTAAAATAATGCTCTACTCATATTCTCATTATATACACTGAAAACAGTACTGTTCCAATACTCCCTGAAGTTCTGGTCACCCCAGTAGCATCTGCATTGCATCAGGCTTACCAGGACAAGCACCAAAAGATACATCAGATACATATTTCAAACAGAACAAGGAGACTGAACTGATCGAGTTTATTACCTAATTCATGGGGAAGCTCATGACAAAACACTGCTATAGATGTACTAATTCCTCCCGTCAGCCCAGCACTAAAAGCTGCTCCTGGAAAAATAAGATGCAAATTACATAATTTTTCAGTAAGCAAATTCAATCAAGAAACTCTTTGAGATTACACCTTTTCTTAGAGCACACGCTCTAAAATTGGTTCATTATGTCTATTCTTTGTCTATATATGAACTGAAAATGCTGGAAGTCTCCTGAACTGATATAATACGATGATATGATAATACGATGGTATGATAATAATCAAAACTTTAATGGTTCCACTTAATCTGCTGGTTTTATTTCCTCTTTGTTTGGTTAGAAATCAATCTAAAACAACGAGAAACCAAGAGAATAACTTAACAGTGTTCAATCAAAATATCTAAAGTACTATCTTCCTTAATTTTGTGAAAACCTGACTTCTGGTACATTTATTAGTTATAAATTATGCAGTATTGTAGATGTTATTACTAACAGAAATTAAATCACCAATAAATACTATTATAAGAGAACTAGGAACTTATTGCCTTTTACTCTAAGGCAAATACTGAGACCCTAACAACAAATGTATATTGTAGGTATATTGTATATTGTATATTGTACTTGCAGGTACTCCAAAATTCTTGCCAGCATCTGAATTTATTTGGCAAAAAAGCTGGTGCTATTGCTAATATCTATACAATTATCTTGATGGGAAGAACACTGAATATCAACAAAGCGAAGACCACTCCAGGTGATGGCCTTTTCACTCCTGTTCTGAAGAAGGGCAGACACTGCCTTGCCCAGGCAAGCACAGGAGCTACCTTGTGTCCTGACCCACGATCCCTGACAAGGAAAGCATTCCCAGAAGCATGCCCAGCAAGAAGGAACCGCTGAGAAATACCTCCTGCTTTTCCTTACCTATGGCTAAGCCATCACTGAAGTTGTGGATGCCATCTCCCATAATTACCATCCACGCAATATTAGCTATGCCGGTATCTTTCAGGTCTTTTCCAGAATGGCAGTGGCCATGGGAATGATGGGCGTGTTTGGGATGCCAGTGGTGGCTGTGCTTTCTGGCCATCATCTTCTCTTGGCCGTTGCCGTCGTACTCCGCGTCACGGAGCTCGTGCTCGGGAGCGGTGCGCGAGACATCGTTGTGGGAGCAATGCTCCTTGTGCTCCTCCTCGATAGACAGGAAGTTCTTGGGAGGAGATTCCAGCTGCCCATCCAAATCAGTCAGTTCTGTTTCGTTAAGTCGGTCTTCAGATAACACGGAGTCATCTGCTCCTGCAGGGAGGCCAGTTGAGAGACAGGGTGTCAATTCATTTTGAAAATACCACCAGCAACTACTCTGTGATTGGGCAAATTTTTAAACTGATTTCAAAAGCAACAATCTGAAATATTTTAGCATAACCCAATCTAAAAGCTGTTGTCAACATTCAGCCAATAAAGATCTCTCCTGTTGTGCTCTTTGTCAGTTACTGGCAGGTAGAGCATTCGGAAGTCTCCGCAACGGCTCCGTACTCATAGCACACAGTCGCTTTCAGCCTGATGTAGGCTCCCACCTGCTACTTTGCTGCTGACAAGATTTATTGTTCATCACTGGAAAAAACATAAAAAGCATAAAAAAAACCTATAAAAAAAAGCCACTAAAAAGAACTGTAACACGTCTCATGCTGCAGGTGGAATTCAAGCTGCTGGGCAAGCTGGTTATTCTGTGCACACGCACATCCAAGTCACTACTGGACCTCCCCGGAGCAGCCAGGAGCCGCAGTTGAACCCGGCAGTTTCTGCACCGCCCGTGGCTCCCTGCTCCACGCGCCTGTGCCACACAGCGGGACCTCCTCAGGAGCTCGCTGCTCTGCCTCCTTTGCAAGGCCCTTTTTGCAAAGGGCTGCAAAATGGAAACAATGTAGAAGGCAAACGGGCATACATTTTAAGCCTATCCATATTTCTACAGTGTTTGTAAATAAATAAAATTGGCAAGCTATGCCCCAGGAAACAGAGCTGTGGGAGAAAAAAAGCAGTTTCCGCACAATGAAATTATTAGACTAAAACAATTGAGCAAAAATATTTCAGAATAAAAAAATATGCAACTGCTAGGTAGAATTAATTAAAAAAAAAAAAAAAAACAAACAGGTATCCAGCAGCAATCTCTTTCTAGATAAACAGGCTTCCTAACATCATTGATAGGCTGTATAACCAGAAATGGAAGGGCCATTTGGATCAGTGGCACAGCAATTCAAAATTCAGATTTGCTTGAATAGCCTGCATCTGAACTTGCTCGAACAGCCTCGAACAGGAATGATTTCCTGTTTGACTGCATGCTGTCGGAGGAGCAGTGTTACAGAGCCAGCTGCCTAAGAGGGCGACTCTGAGCCATTAAAGCAGTGGAAGAGAAGGAACATGTGTAAAGCACGTGTACCACTGCACTCAAGGCTGTAATGGTTCCCTATGTCAAATCTCATTTAACTCCTCCGAATGGAGCCCTAACTCTCTCTCTCCCGTTTGCGAGAGATGAATGAGGCTGCTCCTCTCTGAGCAGGGCCTGTGGGCTCCTCCAACGCAGCCACCTTGTTGGCAAGAGAGAGGGAAGCGCAGGCAGCAAAGCCCTTCCCCTCTTTCGCCCTCGGGCAGCGAGTGAGCGGGCACTTCCTCTGTGTTCAGGCTTCAGGAGGACTCATTGTATGGGAGGAGAGGCATTTGAAAGCTGTTTTGGATACCTGAGAAGTGGCTGTGTTTATGAGAAGAAATTAGTTTTTCAGCCTAACTCAAATCGATCAGAGATTGTAATGTTCAGTGCGACTTTCCTCTTTCAGTTGTGGTTTCTTTTTTTTTTTCTTTTTTTCTTTTTTTTTTTTTTTAAGTTAGGAGCAGTTTAACAAACTGCTTCAGGAAGCTGAGAACCAGCTACACAGCAAAAAGGAAGCCTGGCAAGTCTTACCAACCAAGGTTTGCACATCCATACAAGAGGCCACGTGCTACACGCCACAGGCTACAAGCCCTGATCGCGATGGCATCGCCAGTGAACTCTCCAAGCGAACATTTACCTGCGAGCGGTTTGAGCTGCAGCCAGTCAGTATCTGGTCTGTTATTCAGTTTGTGATCTGAAAGTTTCCTTCCAATTGGCGATTCTTCAGTCTGTTTCTTCTTGCACCACTTCTGTTTACTCTGCAGCAGGACACAAAGTTAATGTCTCGCTTGTTGACACTGACAGAAATGGAAGATAAACTGAAAAGTCATCACCAATCTCTTTAAAAGAGAGCAAGTAATAACTTGGTCTACTCCTTTAATGTGTCCAGAAGAAGTACATGTCAAGACTGTCAGTCACATCTGTATCTCCCTGGAAATTCGGAGGTACCCACCACAGAAACACACACACGCACACGGAAATACCGCGTTATTACCAGGGAGCTTCATGACAAGCACTGCACATGTACACAGAATCACTGCATTCTCCTCTTTAGCTCAAGGAAGCAAACACGAAGCAAGGACACCTCTTCTATTTTGTCCATTTTTAGAAAGTTTTCTATGCCTGTAATTTCCTCACATTTCCTTCAGAGAAAAGATTGCTATTTTCTTGTCTGCAGTTGCCATGGCAGTGCAAGAGATTTAATTAACTCCATAAAGAAAATATTCCCAATGTGACAACTTTTCTCTGTAAGAAGACCTAAGCACAACCTCCAACAGAGAAAATCTTTTGCTGCTGTCCAGCTTAAGTCAGTGTCTGATGTGAGACTAGAAAACTGGGCGTCTTTCCTCACTCCTCCTGTTTTCAATTTGCCAAAATACTTTTCTTCTCAGAAACCAAGCAGTGAAGACAAACAGCTGCCAAATGGTTATTTGGAGGGACTGTTTAATGAACAGAGGGTTTCACAGGTTGAGCTCCCCGCTACTCTCACAGCCCCTCTCAGGTTCTCTCCTATCAGACTGCTGGTGTGAATACAAACAACTAACCAGCAGAGAGAGAGCACTGAGAAGCTAAGTTTGATTGCCAAGTTTGTTTTTTAAATAGCAGGCAGTTTTAGCACGTACCTTTTGTTTATTGTAATGCTTGTACATTCTTATACAATGCTCAATGATGAACAAAACATAAATGCCTCCGAGTGCCACGAGACCTTTCAGCACTGGGTCATTTTCTTCCAGGAAGCCCTCAGCCCCCGTGCCATGCCCATGGGCATGTCGGTGAGAGCGCCTGTGTTCGTGAGCGTGACCTTGTCCATGGTGGTGGCTGTGGTTGTGGCCTCCATGGGACTATGAGGAGAGAAAACAGTAACACGGCGCCTGACTCTCAGCAGGGCTGAAATGGCTCCAGGATGTAAAGGAACAACCCAGCCCAACCAACCAACCCCGCAGCCTGGCCAGAACAGCACTACCAAAAACATTTAAGAAAATTCTTTTTATACAAATGCATTTTACCTGGGAACTTTGACCCTAATCAATGCAAATTATTTTACTGGGTAATTTTTAAAGGAGGAGTGGTAAGAAAAAAAAAAAAAAAAAGAAAAGATAAAAATCAGCCTTCTGCTTCTTTATCTCACTATGCTATAAAAAATGAGACCAGCACTCCAAGGCATCACACAAAATTACTACTCTAAATACTCCCACTAGCAATTAAATTCATAAGCTCTTTAGCTACTTCCACCAATTACAGTCTGAAATACTGAGATTCTATCCCTTCTCTCAAATTTAAAATTAAAATTTACACAAAGGAAACATTTTCCCTTCTTCCTCTCTGCAAGAATTCCAGTACACTGACAAAAATTGAAACCTGCTTACTTTCCTAGCAACTTAGACAACTTCTTGATTAAATGTATGAGAAGAACGTATGAGAATTTCTCCAAATTACACGTACACTCAAACAAAATAAAAAGAGTAGTTTACAAAAAGAACAAAACACGGTTCTAGCTTAAAAAGAAAAAAGTAGTAATCAGGAAGCTGAACCCTCTGAAATACTTTTTGGTGGCCCTGAAACATAAGTACCAGGAGATAAGGGACCTCAAGTAATTAAACCTCTTCAAGCAACTATGAAAATAGAACTATATTTCTTTAGAAATGTGCATTTACTTTGTTACTAACAAAGTCTCAAACTCTGATTGTAGGCCATCAAGGCCACCTTCACCTGTTTCAGTGAAGAGCTGGGTCTATAGTCTACAGCCTTAAGTTAGAGGAATGGGATACTCACGTGTGGTAACAGATGGAGCAGTGCGTCTCCGCTCATTGTTCCTACAGCCAGAGCTACCAAGAAAGTTAGAAGAAATTTGAAGCACCATTGGTTAATGATGGGAATCAAGATCACCCCTAGCAAGGAAAGCAGGCTAATGACGGTGATAGAGATGATACCACAAAACCAGGCTGTGGGAAGAAACGAACACAGAAGGGTTATCAGAACAATACGTGGCAAACCTTGAACACCGATTAATACTATCTCTTAAGATGAATTTTGACCTAACCATTTATTCATTCAAAACAGGCGGAAATATAAGCAGTTCCCAAGCGCAGGCCCAGCTTAGCCTGGCTTGCTCACAGCGCAGTGCCCCACGAGACATGAGCAAGTACTTGGCAAGGAAAGGACCCTTCCTGCGCTTAACCCGCAGCCCATGAGCGAGGTGGAAAAAGCAATTCCGTGCCCCAGCATGATGCTCTCTCCTACTCAGCTCACTAGAGTTCCACTAGCCCTTACTTTACTTAACTAGAATAAATATTTCTCCCTTTTGAGAAGAACAGCTTGCAGAGCTGGGCGCTTCTCTTCCCCTGGTGTTTTGAAACATAGCATCTTAGCTTGGAGAAATAAATAGGGCTCAGACTTTAATAGAGGAACCTTACAAATAAAGCATGATAAAAAAAAAAAAAACTAAGTGACTTGGTAGCAATAAAAAAGCAGCACATGTTTCTGAGGACCTCTGCATTGTTCCCGTTATAATAAAAAGTGACAATGGAATAAGTGACAGTCCAGGTAATGCCAACAATTAGCAAAGATGCCTACATTTCTATACAAGATAGAACTGCACAAGAAATAGACACCATGAGCAAAGGATCAGGCCTCTTGGAACCAGCTCTATCTCACCCTAATAATGTGTTTTCCCTTCTACTTTTTAACATCACTACTAAGCCTTCTCTGGCACTTCCCTTTCTTCTTCCATCACAAAGACTTCCAAAGAACAGGACACAGAACGTGTTTCACTCCACCAGCCCAATTCACAGGGCTCACAGTCCCAAGACAAATGGGACCCAGAAATCTGGCTCTTCAAATCTGATCTGACTCTTTTTAACCCCATCCCAGCGATGCACTGACAGACAGAAACGAACTTACGACAGAATTATAGGTACACACAGGGAAATTATTAACCTAATTCACGTACATCACTATACATAAAACTAGTCAAACCTTAAACTACCAGTGTTGCTGTGAAAAGCAGTTCTTTATACATACATATACACATACTGTATATATGTGTGTGTGTATATATACATATATACACACAAACACAATGATTTATACAATGTTATGTGTATATATATATACATATAAACGTATGTATATATATATATATGTGTGTGTGTGTGAGGGTGAACACCACAACTGACGTTGCTTTATTATTTATGATTTCCACGTGAAACATCTTATGTTTTACATGGAAAATTCATTCCTACTAAGGCCATCTCTCACTTCAGGCTGCCGAAGCGCAGGAAATTCCACTGAATGAAATTAATCTAATTCAGTCTAATTCATCTAATTCAAATGCAAAGGGTAAAATAACACACACTCCAAGGTGGACTGACTCGAAGAAAACTTCAGAATGTATATGGGATATACTGGAAGGGCAGGAAGAAAACAGGGAATTGGTGGCAAGGCAAAAACAACCAGAAGAGAAATTAAAAGTAGAAACCAAAAATAGGTGCAGACTGGAAGCAGGACCCTGCAGACCAAACGACTGTCACTCCCTGCCTTGGATTGCTGCCCAAAGCAGTTCAGTCACGTGCACTGGACGGGCAAGCCCTGCCAAAAGGCACCATGTACACGGGTACATCGTGTCATAGCGTAGCGTCACGTGCCTGCAAAAGCAGCCCCCATTAACACTGCAGGGCCACCTGCATCACGCTGCATCTCCATTCTGGACACGAATCCTTTGACACTAGGGTCCAGGTTAAATGACCAGGAATGGAAAGGAGATTACACAGACTAGCTGAAGTTTCGTATTTCATACATATTTTTTTTCATATTTCATACATATTTTGGCAATCGCATCTCTGAAGGGCTCGTGTACTCTGACAAATGAAACAGCACCTAAAGATGGAGCTATGATTAACATGAGGTGTGCTGAACGAGTAATCTGCAGAGTTCATCTCTAGCCGTGGCCTCCAGCTGCTATCTTTATCTGTTCACAGTCTCAATGATGGCATGTAACGAGAAGTATTTACAAATGCTATGGAACCACAACTACAGCAAAAGGTTCCTGTTGAGCCTAAGGACAAGAAATGTAATATATGCAAAAGCACAGACTGGGATAAAGTTATTTCCCCACAGGATAAAGGACTACCAAGGAAGACACCTGACAATGGTGCCACCAAAATGTTACCGAGGGCTTCATACAACTATGGAATTCAAACCTCCCCAGCATGCGAGCAGAACCAATGTGCCACATTAGGAACACTGAAAGAGCTCAGAACTACTAGAAGAAGTTGATGTGTAGTGTCCTAGGAACGCTACGTGAGGCCTGCTCAAGCAGCTGAAGTTATTGCTACTGCATTGTAAGTTATTTATGTGGAAAAAGCAGGGAGCAAGTGACCCAAGTTTCTTCGGTCGGAGACCTCAGTTCAAACAAGGGTCAGCAAACATCAAATGTGCAGTGTCATTTGTCAGTCAAGACAAAGGCTGCTGCTGTGGGTTTGCTAGGAAGGGTTTAAGCCCTGCAGGCTGCAGGAAGCAAACAGGCTGATACGGAAGCTGTGCGGAACAGAGGCCTTCCTCGAGAGGGGAAGGAAGAGCTCCGGGTGAGCAGGCGCCTGCACGGGCCCATTCAGTGCTTTACAAGATACATCTGGTCTGAAAGGGTTTCAAGCAACGGCTCAAAATGGTCCTTGCCTTGGAAAAAACCAACAGATTGTTCTTCACTTGTTCTGTTCACTTGTTTCTTTGAGTTGCACGCATGGATTTACTGTACAAGTCCCTGACACAAAGAGACCGAGAGGCTTTTTCCAATATGGTACATGATAGTATTCATATAAATGATGAACTACTACCAATACAGGTCCTGCTCTAGAAGAACTGAAGCAATCAATCTGCACAAGCAACTGGCCACAGAGCCTAGGGTGAAAGAGAGCTGAAGTCAACGGAAAAAAATAAACCTACAAGTGGCAGACCGTCCAATAACTGTAAACAACAAAAACTCAAATAATCAGAAATTACATGCAAAAGAGAGAGAAAAAAAAAAGGGATTCTCCAAGGTGGAAAGCTTGCTCTGTTGTCCCATGTGCAGCATGGGCCTGCTCACTGCTCCCGAATCTGCTTCTCCATCACACAGACACTGCCATTCCCTTGCAAGCTTTCCTGGGGATGCCATATGCAGAAGCTACATTTCCAAGGAGCAGCAGGACATCCCAGCTAGATTCCTGGGACACGGCATAGGAAGAAGCTGAGCTTGTCATGGGCATGTGGAGGGGGAAAAACACCCCTGCCTCACACAGCCCCCCCTGCTCCTCTGCTGGGTACCGAGCGCTCCAGGGACCACAGGAGATGTGCGTGATTCCCAGACGGGTTTAGGTCTCCTTGTACGTGATTAGGAGCTGACAATGACAAGAATGTCACCTCTTTTAATGGGTACCCCGCGATAACTCAGCTGAATATATAAAGATACTGCGAGGGAAAAAGAATCCTCAGAAATCCTCCATTAAAGGTACTACAAATTCCAACATGGTTTCATGAGTTCTTGGTCACCAGTTAATTAAATTGGCTTTAAAAACCCAACCTAGTGAAAAAAACCTTAGAAGATAAGCAGCAACAGAAGAGAGCGGGTCTAGAACGATTTTTGAAAGCATTAAAATGGAAGAAAAACACAGAAATAAATCAAGTGTTTTAGAAACCTCTCTCATCCTCCTGACTTTGACAAATATTTCCAACCAAGACTGCTTTACACTAGCCGGGGTAAGCAGAATTTCATTTTATTAGAACTACACAACCAGCTACTACAGTTAATAGTTGCTCAAAGACTGATGTTAGTCCTACAGCTCCTGCAGTCCCCAAGAAATTAGGAAGTTTTCTGCAGAAACTTCCTAATTAAACTGGTGCAAAGCATGCGACCCGGGACCGTTTTCCACACGGTTTAAATGTTTTAATTGGCAGAAAATGCTTAGGGCCATTCTGCAAATCTTGTTTATAATAAGGCAGGGGTCAACTCTGACTAAAAATGAGCCTACTCTGCAAGGCAAACGATGCCGCCAGGTAGAGGCTATTTAGTTAACAGTGGCCTCTGAGCAGACACTGAGACAGTAGCTGTGTCACTAATGGAAATATATGTGCAAGAAGTTCATCTTTCTCGATCACGTTGCAGTCATTAAAAATAATTACCAGCAATGCAGTCTTTTACACAGGTGTTAATAAATACCAGAATGGCAATTTACATGTTAACTCTAAGTTAAATGCTCTCGAATCCTTCTATTTCCTAAGCATCCTAAAATTCTGTCCGGTCTACAAAGTTGCATCACTGCTAGAATATAAAACTGAAAAAAATAGTATTTTCCAAAGAATGAGTTGCAAGGAAGGCACTGTTCTCTTTCTAAATGAATAAACTTGGCTCAAATTTATTAAGAAAATACGTATTTGTCTATGGGCAAATGCACAACACTTCAGTTGCGCCAAGAGAAAAAGATGCAGTATTTTAAATGATGGAAATGAAGCAAAGTGTACGTGGACTCGCTCATCCCCTAGAGCTGCCTCTGACTCCAAAGACCTGTATGTTGCCTATGCTCCCTCTACAAGTCAAACGATAGATGGAGTGAAACAAGGTCAAAATGGTCAGGCACAATTGTTGGGTGTCACTGACTCAAAAGAAAAAAGGAAATAAAAATAAGAAACATAAAAAAACCCAAATAATTCCTTTGCTATCAATGCTAAGCTGTATGGTGTTTCAAACTCTGAAGAAAAGTTAATATTTATAATGCAAAAATAACTGCCAAGAATATTACACACTTACCTGATGCACCTGTTGTGTTTTTACTTTCAATTGATGAACTTTTATTTTTCATAAAATCTTCAAGCTCATCATAGTGTACAATGCAAAGCCTCCTCTCAATCTGGTAGAGCAGAGCAGGACACATATATACAAACAGCTCAGGAGATATCGGAGAGCTGGTTTCCAGACCATAATACCGTAGCAGCTGGGTAACATTTAAGCACTGCAAACAAATGGCACAAACAAACTGAATAGGAAAACAATTATTTGATTAAAAACTAGCTATGGAAAATTTAGGGTATGATATGTAGAAGAGAGAAATTCTGATGCGTAACATTTCATCAAAGCTGAAATATGTCTCAGCTGATCTAAGTGATTTTCACGGAGGGAAAAGGGAGAAAATATCTGCCACCCAGTCTCCAAACACCTCTGCAGCTTTTAATAAATGCCAATGGAGAAGTTTCACATTCCTCAGCACTACAGAAGACAAGCAACAAAAGAAAAACAAAAGTGTAAATCCAAAGTAGAATTTTAAACTTTTCTTTTTACCTACCTGGTTTGTGTGTTTTGAATTTTCAATCAATTTTAGATTTGGTCTAAAAAATTCAAGCTCAGCACTCAATACTGCACTATTCTATCTATCAAAAAAATTAAATAAATAAAAATCAAGCCATGCTGCTTGTAGAGTTAAAAGGAAAATAAAGAGTTCTGACAAAAATAATGAATACTGCAAGGAGAGATGGAGAAATGACCTAAATGAAGCACTGTACTACAGAAGTTACATCTACTCTACTTTCACAGCTGTTTATGATGAAGAAATCAGAAGTATGTTGAAAAGATATCGGTGTTTCTTTTAGGAAAGAGCTCAGCAGTTTCCAAAACCATTAAAGCCTTAGGTTCAAGTAGAAGTGAAAAAAATATAGCGAAAAGCTATTTACAAATTTGAGGAAGGGAAGAAATGCTTGTGAGCAGAATTATTTTAGCAAGCTTGAGGTATGTCCTCTATACAGAGATAAAGGGGCAGGATATTCCCTGAAATGGATGATAGCTAGATAGAAATGAAAATCAGTAAATTCAGAACTGCAGCCTCCTGGAGTATTCACTCTGCTGCCTGTACTATGCACCCAGTGCAAACGTTTGCTCCTGCTTCATCTGCCGCTCCCAGGCAGCAGCACTCACCTCCTCACGGTCACGCTCCTCTTCGCTATGATCCTTGTGACCCCGCGTTGAAAAGATGGCATGTTTCCTGACACTGATCTGCTTGTGCGTTGCCTCCCGCTTGCTCGTGTGGTGACGCCCATCCTCGTTACCCAGACTGGAATCTGCGTGTCCGTGACTACTGGAATGATCACTGCCATGTTCATGAAGGTGCACGTGCAAGTGAGATGGATCGTGTACATGATCGTGTTTGTGAACATGATTGTGCTCATACTGATCACCCTGATCGTGATCTGGAGCATAATCCTGTGCAGTATCTACTGAAGTCCCACTGATTTTCTTCCGTCTCTTTTTCTGTTTACGCTGTTTTCTTTCAGGCTGATCCTGCGTGGCGTTTGTTTCCGTTGAAGGTTCATGGTTCTGTTCTCCATGGTCACTATGACTAACTGAATCGTTATGAGAATGATACGTACCATTACGGCTGAGATGATGATGTAGATGAGGATGATGATGATGGTGACGGCGACTCTGGTCATGACTATGTTTACCCTCAGCTTTGACTGACGACACAGCTGTCTCTCTCTCAAGGTCACATTTATGGTTTCGCTTGGCAGCCGTGCCAGGCATGGTTTGGTTTTCAGCATCGGAGTGGCTATGAGAATGAGGATGGCTGTGAGGGTGCGCATGCTTTCCTTCCTGTACTTCTAAAGCATATAAGTGGGAAACATGATCATGGCCAATATCATCATGATTTATCATCACTACTTTTACCTCTCCTAAACCAAGGCTTAGTAAGAGTTTTTCCAGACCAAAAAAAGAGAGTCTTCCATTTTCGCCGTACCGATCAAAAATCTTTTCAATGTAGTATTTCTGTTCGTTTTCAGCGTCCAACGCTGAAAATTTACTCGGCACAGATTCTGTTCCCCCGTTCTGGAAATAGGATTCCTCCGAGATCTGATAGTCATTGTGGCGGTGCACGTGCTCCTCTTCAGGACCGTGGCTGTGTCCCTCCTCACGGCAGTGATTGCACTGATGAAAGATAAACGTCAGCAAACAAATGAGGCAAAATTTCGTGTGCGCGTGAACCTTCATCTCTGTTTCCTACAGGAGACACAAGAAGAAACACTTCAGTTTAAAAGCTCTCTCAACACTTTGACTGTACTTCACCTGCTACACGTTTGCCTCAGCTGAATGATTCATGGCAGACCAAAAAATTAAACAGTATTTTTTAACACACAAATTCTCTCCTGCAGTAAGATGGCCTCTGTGCATTTTAGAGTGAGGTGCATTCTCACATGCTGTACTTGCAGCATTCAAAGACTCTCATACGAGAAAAATATTTGTGTTTATTTTCAGAGCCAATTAAGGCTATGACAAGTTACAAGACAAGTTATAAGACAAGTTAGAAAGGAATAAAACAAATTACACTGTATTTTTTCTATGAGGATAAGGGGATATAATATAGTTGAAAATCCAAACCTTGCCTCTTCCCTCATCTGCTGCTACACACACGAGTTGCCTAATTACCACTTTTAAATGCTAAGTAGTACAATTATTTAAAACATAAAGTTACCATTAACAAGCTTCAACATACTGCTCAAGTAGATTTTAGTCACATTTTTTAACCTTCTTATTTACATAGGTATATAGATCCCTAAGATCTATGTAGACATTCATTTAAAAATCAGGTTACATGGAAATCAGGTCTCTGTAATGCAACTCAGGAATTACTTATGTTCATTAACCACACAATCTAGATAACATGGTTTTCAATTTAGTATTCACAAGAAGTTTACTACTATCTTAAAGATACTAAGACATAAGACTAAGACGTAAGATACAGTCTTAAAAGTTAAAAGAGTAAAAAAAGCTATATAAATATATATATGTAAAAGGCTAATGTAATAAAAGAAACCTCAAGAAACAAAACCTGCAACTTTATGCAAAACTCATGTCAAATTAAAAAGCTAAAAATAAGCCAAGACTGCATTTTATAACTTCTGTTTTCTACAGACTTATTTTGGATAGAGGGTATCTGCTAAAAGGCAGATTTTAAAAACAGCAAAAAAACCTTTTTCAATACTGATTAATTTACAGGTGTAAGATCACAAGGAAATTTAATGGAGGCATCCGTAAGAAAGGTGACTGCAGGAACAGTGCATAGGTCAGGGGGGATCACTGTATGCTGCTGTTTTCTTTTTGTGAACAACTGCTCCATCACCTGTCGGGAATGACGCTACAGTCCATCGTTAGTTCCAGTCCCCACATGCTTCAGATATCAATTTAGGGTCAGGGACAGACCCTTCCAAAACATTTAGTATGGTAAGTTCACCCCCAAAATTTACAGAGAGATGATTTTCAATCCTTTTTAACTCACACGGACTGTTTAAAGCCTCTTTAATGTTCTTTTCAATACATCCCTGGGATTAATACACAAAGGGTCTCAAAGCACCTTGCAAAAGTTTCTTCCATCCCCGCTTGAGGAAAAGGACACACAGTCGCTAGGGCTGAAGCAGAAGGGGGTGCAAAGCTTTATCCAAGAGTCCTAGGACTGCATCACCCCTCGCACTGTGTTAGGCCTGGGAGCCCCTGCCTAACCTGCAAATAGGGACCGGGCTCTTCTCACATGGGTTCAACGCCTGGACTCCCTAACCTCATCATCCCACGAAGCACCGACCTCTGGCACTGCGCAAAGGAGCTGGGGTCATGGGTACAGTGAGGGCAGATGAGCAGAGCTCCACATTTCTACTGGAATATGTCGATTTACATCAACTGGGGATTTACGGTGTTGAGTGGTACTCAGTGTGAATGACAGATGGACAGAATCACAGAACGGTTAAGGTGGGAAGAGACCTCTAGAAGTTCATCTACTCCAACCTTCCTGCTCAAGCAGGTACACCTAGAGCATGTGGCACAGGGCGGCATCCAGCCGGGTTTGGAAGCCCTCCAGAGAAGGAGCCTCCACAACCTCCCTGGGCAGCCTGTGCCAGGGCTCTGGCACCCTCACAGTGCAGAAGTTCTTCCTCACATGGAGATGGAGCTGCCTGGGTTGCAGCTTGCACCCATTACCCCTTGTCCTGTCAAGATCCTTGTCCTGTGAAGATCATATTCAAGATCTGGAACGAGCAATGAGGGGTGGTGTTGTCACACAAGACAAACGGAGGTGCTGGAGGAAGGCTGAACACACGTGTGCTTGCACAAAGCACATGTTCCGCTTCCCAGAATGAAAAGAATGTCCCAATAAAAATCAGTTACGCAAATGATACTAATTTATAGTATATATAGACACCTTTGCTCCTCCCTTGCAATATACTGGTAAGCAGAACAAGCAACTCCTTAGCTTTGCAAAAGCAGAATCAAGACTGAAAAAAACCCCCAACCTCTACCAGGAAATTCATGACTAAAGCATGATCATAATCCGTGTCACAACCTCATGATCTTTTCCATGTGACTGGCTCATACAATACTACTAATACATTACTTGGAAACCTCAGTCATGCATCTCTAATTGTGGTGGTTAGCATCGAATGGTACCTTTTCTCTGCGCTCTAATGGTTAAAATAGTTTGAAACCTACGAGCATGATTCATTCCTAATATCCAAGCCTTATCATCGACTTAGTTAAATTACTATCCATCTCACTATTCTCAATAAAACTAATAACTCTAGCACAATGTTTTAGTCTTTTATTATAAGATTTTCTTGTTTTCTATCTTAATTACTGGGCTATGGAAAAAAAAGCACTTGCAAAACAAATACACCTGTCCTAAAGAATCTCAAGCAGAACAACTATTTATGAGTATTTTTTCCACACAAGCATGACCGTTATCTAGGTAAGTTCAAATTCTATGTCAGTAACAGAGCCGTACGTAGATTACCACAGCACGTGAGCATTAAGAATCCCAGCTCCTCTCCAAAGAACGGGGACGGGCGGCCCGAGGACAAGGCCACGCGAGTGGGAGGGAGCCCCCACAGCAGGAGACACGAGGGCAGCCTCCTGGAGGGGCACGCTCCCACAGGCCTGGGGGAGCAGCCCCTAGGGGCCCCACGGGGCAGGGGGGAGCAGCCCCTAGGGGCCCCACGGGGCTGGGGGGAGCAGCCCCTAGGGGCCCCACGGGGCTGGGGGAGCAGCCCCTACAGAACACAACCCGCGCTGCCCAGGGCCTCCGTCCTCGGCGCGGCGGGCCGCAGCACGGATGTGTCCCTCCATGGCTCCAAGGCGGGCGCGGAGGCCCAAGGCCCAAAGGTAGCACCAGCTGGAGGCCAAGTCACAGCTGCCAGTCACAGGGCAGCCCCCAACGCACCACAGCTACACACGTGTTACATGCACGTCAGCCACGTGTCATCTCCTTTTTCTGATACTCGTGAGACCACGAGACCACCTCAGCATCCACCAGAGGTATCTTTTCTGTACAGAAAATTCCCTGTACCTCTGTGACCGGTAAACCTGACTACAGCCTTGCATATATTAAGTTATATGTACCTGCTGGTCCCAGTTGATTTTTTACAGTCGTTTTTGCTCAACTTCCCCTGGATTCCTGACTTCAATACACTGCCTACTATTTCAACCACTCTTCCACTTTACACCTAAAAATTCAATACTCCGACTAAACTGAAACAAAAGCATGACCTAGGATTTTGAGGGATTTTTATTGTCATTTATTTAACATCAGCCTCTGAAATGAAACCATAAAGCAGTTCAACTATTATGCTTTAGAGGAACCACCTTTGATTCCAAAAGCGTGGTCACAGCCAAACTGCTACAAATGAAGCCTATCATTTTAGTGTTTGCAACCCAGAGCACATGCTCCAGCCCTTGTGCAAGACCTGCTTCCCTATTTCAAAGCCCCATTTCTCCCCCCTTCTCCTTCTCTGCTCCCAACCATTTTAAATCTTAGATATTCCTCACATACATGCACTGGCTTTCTGCCCTCTCCATGCTCCTTCCCAGGGATTTACCTTGACTCTCCTTTTTAGTCTCTCTTCCTTTCATGCCATTTTCCTTCTTTCCTCCTTCCCTCTGAAGCACCTCATGCCCTTTGGTTTATCTGCAAAAGGGAATTTGGAAAAATAGCCTGGACCTTTCAAGCAAGTTACCAAGCCTGAATGTCCCAAGGACTGCAGTCTCTTAGCAAGACTTCTTGGACAACCAGAAGCTTCACACCAAACAAAAATACCACAGACATAGTTAAGATATAAGGAAAGTCTGAAAGAAGACTGTAAAAATAAAAGATTTAAAAATAAAAACATAAAATTATTAATTTATTTAAATTATTAGTTTAAATTTTAAAAATAAAAATAGGGAGGATTTAAAAATAAAGCAGTATTCTTACCAAGCTAAGTTGTTCTCTCTGCTCAGCACTGAAAAGTCAAGCATTTGTCATGTGTCCCTATAGGAACTGCTTGCATTAATAGCATTATGAGAAAGGGCATTTTTTTTTTAAGGTTAGAGCTACACGTTTCTTGAAAGAAAGCTACTAACTCCATATACGCAGATATCCCTACATTTCCTGATATTTAAGATTTCGCTTTGTAAGGCAGATATTTGCTCCAGCGCCCACGCGGCAGAAACCCCAGCACCGCTCCTCTGCGCTGCGCGTGCCCTGCAGTGTCCGTACTGCTTCCCAGCGCAAGGAAGGCTGGAAGCTGAGCATCCAACCAACCCACTCGTCAATTCCTAAATACCAAGTGTTTAACAAATGCCAGAACATCAGCTCCTCTTAATCCAATATTCCCTCTGAAGATTCATGACTTTAAAAGATTATTGATGTGAAAATACATTACTATTACCGACAGACACTTTAGGAAAGTATTTAAAGCAGCTAGTGTTATTTTTTGCTATCATCTTTAGCTTTTGTATTATCAGGTATTAGTTTTTGCACATACAAACAGCAAAACATGCTATGGACCTAAAGAAGTTATAAGGAACAATCCGAGGCTTCAGTTCTCACCCATCTCCTGTATTTTCTTCCCTCTTCCATTTCAGTGCAACAGGTTTGTGGATTTGAGTAAAACTCATTCATTCGAGAATCTGCAGCCCAGGAGGAGGGGCCCCCGGTAAGAACTGACCATTAACTGATTGATCCAAGGCGTATTTGCCCA